CGTGTAATTCCGACTACACACACACTGGCGATATTATTTAAAACTAATAATCGACCTTTTACATGGTTTTTAAATAGCGAATTTTTCGCCCCGAACATCGAACGTGACGTTGACGTTTTTCCGACAATTTTTTTAGCGAATGTGTAAGTACTTCTCAGTGGAATAAGTTTGTCAGTCTCACTGTTATGGGGGGCGAGATAATAATAAAATGTATGATAAAAATAGTAACTAAAAAACCAACTGAAAGAAGGAATGACAATGCTGAAATATAAATACTGGCAGCTTGAGGCCAATTTTGAGGTCTAATATAATAGAAAATTCCAATTTGGGGATGCAAGGAGTCTACTTTAGTCAATCGATTTCTTCAATTAGTTTGAGACAATGTTTATCGATTCTTGGTCCGACTAAAACATTTTGTTTATATAATGCCAAATTCATAACAACAAAGAATAAAGTCATTACTTATGAATACATAAGTAATTTATTAAAACAACTTATGTTTTAAGTATATAATTTGGTATAGTTCAGTGGTTTCTATAATTATTTAATCAGTTATTACTCATTGTGGTGTATTTATTACAGTCATCATAGCAACTAGCAACATTTTAATAATTAAATTTATTTAGTATCAAGTTTACAACGGATTATAAATAGATACAAGCCTATATGGGGGCTATTTTATCTTTTAAAGTCCGATCATTTATTTAAACCAAACATTAAATAAAATAAAAATGTCTATCTGTTCGGTCAATCACTGGGTGTTTTAATCAATTTTAATCAGATGCATACAATACAACTCAGGTTTTTGTTAATAATGTCGCACAGTCTAGTTTTTTAAAAGAGCCTTGACGTAAAAAGCCACTTCTTAAAAGTAGCTATTTACCTATCAGCATCACCTATCGTTTTCACTCGATTCTTGCTCACATCATCATATGATTCAAGTTCCGGAACCCTTGAGATAAGATGTCCCGATTTTCTCAGTATACGAACATAAGTAAATACTTATCATAGTTTGTCGTAAATTCATGTAATCTATAAGAAGGATCTAGGTAAATATATTATATGTAGATTGGCAAATCTGAAGCTATATCCATATAAGTATAGAACAGTAGTATAAGTATTGAATGGCTGTCATTAATTTTGAGGTTCATTTCGTTTACTATATGGCATATCATAATCCACTTTGTTATTTGTTTGTCTAGAATCTAGGACAAAGAAATATTGTTATAAACAATTTTAGTTATTTCTAATTTAGACTTATTTTATTATATTCCTAAGTATTATAAGAATAGAAAGAATAGACTGTATTCTAAAACATAAATGTGTACTAATACTGATCATTCTTCTGTCTTAAATTCCAATAGATATTGATTGTTGTTAATAAAACCTCATACTCAATATTTTAAATTATGATCAACATACCACAGGAGCCCCTTTGTATTTATTGATTACGACTGCCATGCACATAAATAGGATTACACAATACATATCTGTTCCTAAATGACTTAACGCCATGGATATTTACCAGTCTATCTTCCATGTTAATTTTAGTAGAACCATGTCTGTTAATTATCCTAGATTATAGATGATGGAAATCCCATTGATTTCCCCATCGTTTTCCCCATAGTTACGAGGCTAAATCCAACACATAATTAAGTAACAACAATGTCAAACTACATTAGAAACTTCGTATAAAGAGCCTAGACAGAAATATGACTTTGACAGTCAAGTATTATAATACTAGGTACACACCTAGGTATCTTAAAAAACAAAACCCATTGTTTAGTAAATACCTTTTCAAATGAAACATATCTTTTCTTGAAAATTTAAACATTTCTGTGTAAAATACAACAGTCTAAGAATCTCACAAGCATCATGTTGTATGATACACACCACTGCTTTTGAGAATTACCTACTGAGTACTTCAGAAAGACCGTTAGTAGGGAATAGCAAGATTGCTACCAAAGAATCTCGTCCAGATTCCGGGACCGCCCAGAACTATGCCTATTATGTTTTTTACTATAGAGTGTTTTAGAATTTAATCTATAAATTATCTAGGAATTAACTTAACAAGTCCAAAGCAGCCTTAATACATACTACATAGGAATCACTATTTTCTACGACAACGGATAAGTTACATTTTCTTAACTATTGCTAATCATATCGACGTTACTCACATATTAGACGAACAATAGACAGACATGATTTAAATAATTGTGTTTATAAACAGCTGTACTGTATTGGGCAGAGTCATGTTTTACATATAAGTCCAGCTCATACGACACAACGAATTATACTAGGTAACTACTAGTACATCGATGATGTAATACGATCGATATGAACGTAAATATGCTTTGTCTACTAATATTAATAACAAAGTAACGCAATGCAAAAGGAGAGAGACAATCTTTTAAAAAGATGCAATGATAATATAATCTTTCGCCGATATATCAATCTTTTTAACAATTGTTACTCTTCTAAACCAGACCTTAAAGCGATGATTAACATGTACTGCGACGTTCAAACCTAAATACGGCCTAACGACGTCAGCTATCTTAGATCCCTTAACATATGGAGATATAACGTGAATAAACTATAATCTAAATAACCTGACATTGTGCGGTAACTAAAAATTAGGTAACATTACTAAATTACGCTTGTTATCTAACACTTAACACTATCTTTTAAAACAGTATTGTTTGGAGACACAGAGACGTTTCACTTTGTTTTCATTCCTAGCACCAACCACATTCTTTTCTCACAACAATGTTTCAAGATCTAAGATAGGTATTATAGTACTACAATGAAACTATTAATTTAATCCATTAGGTGAATCTAAAGTCCATTACTGTGATTTAGCTGGCCAAAAGACTCCAGAAATCGAAATAACATGAATTTTACAGCTGATCGGCCAAATTTTACATTCATCAATTTGGTCACTCTTCCAAAAGCCGAGGTTAAAATGTTTTAACGAAACCCAATGCTCGCCATACGAGGAGAATTAAAACTAAACGTGGAAATTCAACAATGAACTGCAAATTGAAAATATTGATTTTGTAACACTAACGCCGCTCATTGAATCAATGGTGCTGGAATCATATCGGTTCCAACGTCCAATTTTGCATTTTTTTTTCAATACGTATGCTATTATGCAATGAGTTTTTGCGCGAATATCATTAAGCTAACATTATTGAAACCTAGAAAGGAAAGACACCGGCAAATACATTTCAAAAAATATGTACAATGTAATTAAATAGAGGTTTAAATTAATTTGTAACTTACTATTTTAGATGTTTTAGGTTTCAACGTATCTACAAGTAGACTTTGTACCTCCGCAATACACTACATACACCCAAGTTAAATAAAAACTTAGCCTTTATTAGCACTTGCAAATGGGTGTCTATCTATGAGAAAACTCGTGCTTTTTATTGTAAATCATTAGTCATATAAGATTATGCTATTCTATACTATAGAAACGAACTAGATGTATTTTAGTTTACGATGTAACATTTATGTTCGATATTTAAATATTCTAATTCTTGTTTAGAATTTCCTAGTACGTAGGCATTACCTCTATATTAGATATTTTTGGGGTTTTCCATTTTCAAATTCGCAATGCGTGTCAGACTAAACAGAAACTGTATTTAACATGACTTCTTCTCTAAGGACTTTCTCTTCTTGCATCCAATTCATTAGCATAACATTTTCAACAAAATATATTCGCATTTTTTTATGAAAACGACTTGATTAGCTTTAATAATACTATTTACCTAACAACAATATTTGTGCGTAAGTAGTTAAGAGGTTCAATGAACTTGTTAGTGCAAAAAAACTGTAATTCTTCTAATTAAATTTGTAGCGGTGTTAAATAAAAGTACCTGTGTCCGATAATGATGCATGAGTAGTCTTGTAAACAGTCTCATACAATTAGATACAAGTAATATAAGCGTTTTGCAAAGAAAAACACTGAACGACCTTGCCACCTACGTGGACGTCTATTTAACATACTTTTTATGATACAACGTATTACGCGTGGAAATAGATCAATACTTAAAATCTACAAATATCAATCACAATAATAATATTAGCTTTATTTATTAATGTTCTACGTACCTTAGAATATTTAGTTAAGTGATATGTTTTCAGTCACTAAACTCATTTTGCATATTAGTAAATTAATTTACTACTAAAAAAATAAATATCAGAACTAAGAATTATCCGACATGTTTGTTGTTTACTTTTTTTATTTTCGAATACTTGGTTGGGTGATATAATTGTATTCGGCCTATTGGCAAGTTTAAAAATGGAATGTGATACCGGCCTGTATTGAAATAATGTATTTGCTTACAGCATAGACAATTTGTTTAAAAAGTTAAATTCAATTGCAAACATTAATAATAATAAGAAATTAACGAGTTGAATTTTAATTTCCTGGGTGTCAAAAGTATTTCAGGTTCTTCTATTTTTAAATAATTTACAAGTACCGGCCCCGGAGTAACCGGTAAAAGTAGGTACCTACTTAAACTTAATTTCTATATAGTTTTACCCAGTTACCCACCCATCTTGATAAAAACGTTAAGCTACTTATTTATTACATCAATTACCTATAAGTATATTTAAATACTTGCTAAGAATAAATCTAAATGTCATCAACGGGTACTAAATACTTATAAGCCACCTGCCCACTTGCCTCGCACCATATGAATAAACATCAAGGTGAAACCTCATAACACGGCAACTAGACATAAATATGTGTACGAGTATGTGCGCTATAATAGGTACTCAGTCCAGTACAGTTCTGCGCTTTCATAATAATTACCAAAAACAACCAAATAAAGCAAAACTCATTCAACAAAATGAACATAATAACACAGCTTAAACAAAGCACTAGTTACTCGCACCTAGCAGGCAAAACATAATCTTATCAATTCGTGACAAAGCCAACCGACGATAACGCAAATATTTTCCTCGATATCTTAAAGAAACTCAAGTGACCTCACCTGCGATATTTCTCCTTTTTCGATTCCACCGGCATCAATACCGGTTCCGTAGACTTGGAAATACACCATTCGTTCACTGCACTCACAGTAAGGAACTCCGAGTCCGGGCATGGCATACCTCGGAGCCGAACTCGTCTGAAGATACAGTAATACTGTCGTACTTCTGGTACGGAACCATATCGAAGGACGATATCGACTTAATACTAACATTGTCATAATTAGCACGATCACCAAAGTCACCAGAGGAGACTGACGCGTCGTCTCCTCGTTCACTTATTTCATCACTATTTTCTTCGTTTATCAAAGTGTCTGTAGAATGATCGGTAGACAGCGTCTCCGCTGCACCGTCATCTATGTTCACTACATACTCCTTGCCATTACTCAAATTGTCACTGGAATCACTACTACTGTCCGAACTATCGTCTGTGGATTCATCATTGTTCTCTTGACTTGGCAACTCTTCCTCATTGTCTGATGGGTCTGATCGCTTAAGTCTTAACAATTTTTCTAGATCACTCTGCTTAACTCCATAAGACCAATGCGTCTCCCCAGGATGTCCTTGACTTGCATTAGATTTTTTCCTCATAACAGGTGGTTGTCGAGATCGTCTCGTAACCACTGGCGATGAATTTGGTGTGGCAAAGGAATAACGCCTTTCTACAAAGTTAGTTTCTTCTAGAACAGGTGACTCCCTTTCCTCCGTTTCCGGTCCGTCCGGTGTAGGGTCATCCTTAAATTGGTCCGGTGGTGGTGGTGGCGGTGGTGCAGGTCTATGTGGTACAATTACATCTCCTGGTTTCCGGTCCGAAATAAAACCTGAAGAACTAGATTCGTAACTACGTTCTGATGTATTTGATAAAATTGAATTCACAGATATATTCGAATTTCTATCTTGAGACTTCGCCACGGGATACAAGTGCGGGAAATGGGTTTGTATAGGATTAGCCACATTTGTTAAACTTCCCAAAGGTGATTTGCACTTATCTATCGACTCTCGAGATCCACCGAAATTGTTTAAGTTGCTCCTTTCAAACCGAAGAATCATATCCTTAACACTCGACCTGTCCTTTCTGATGATAACTCCATCTTCGTCGGAAACATTTCCGGAAGATGATTGGAGCTCGTAGTCGAGCCGGGTGCAACACTCTTCTTGTGTCATGGTGTGATGTAGGCAAACACAAGGTTACACAAGCCGCACACTCGAGTGAGCGGGCTCATATCAAAACGTCCACGGTACGCACTCCGACACGCGCGCGCCACTGATAACCAAACACGACTGACAGCGGCGCGCGCGCTGCGCCACGCCGCGGTCGCCCACCGCTTTCATAAAACACTAATGCACGGCTCACACAAACAGCTGGAAACGGAACGCGGAGTTCCACTTATAATGGACGCATATTAATCACCGTACAAAATAATATTTGTTTGGTTCTTTTGCGCTAAATCATAAGCATTAAAACGTTTACGTGTTACGAAACATTCGTAAAATGCTTTATTGTCAAAAATAGTGTGAAACCGCGTTTCATAGACAGATAAAAAGTACTCGACATGAAAAGCAAATGTCAACATTTTAATAGTATTATTTTCCATCTCTAAATAATAAATTTTATGTAAACCTTGCATTAAAAGTCAGTCGGTTAGGTGAACATCAGTTAGTGTATCAAGATCTGTGTTTATCTTACTTGTATCGGTTGTTATTGTGTGATTGGCAATCGAGTACAACAACAAGCAGCCGTCTGGGGTTACTAAACCCAACAGTACTAAATCGTATTAATTAAGGCTTTGAGCCACTACCAAGGTTGTTGCTGTCGCTAACAATTTACTTTAGCTTGAAAATAAGGTAAAATCTGTTCGTCCAATTAACGTGAACTTAGTTTAATTGATAGAATAATAAATCTGAGGTCCTTCATCAAATAGAATATTGTTTAGTTGAATTACTGTGGCGACATCGTGACGATTTGATTACTGATAGCGTTATCTAAAAGACGACATTTGAATAGTTCGGAATTTTAGTAATCAACATTTTTTAAGTTATTTTCTGAGAATTAAATACTACACCAAAAAGGTGTGCAGTTGTGTACGCCTCATATGCAAGGAACGGTATTATTCCATTTTTAGTCTATCATTTACACTCATCCGCATCGCATGACTGAGCACGCTACCGACTTCCGAAGCATGATACAAGCTTATAAAATGCATCGTTGCAATTATAACACGGAGAAAACTATTACTGAGTTTTCTAGATCAGAATCAACGTAGAAAAATTCCATGGCAAGAAAATTACATGACATTAATTATGGCTATAGAATTATTTGTTTATATTTTGGTAGATATTGAAAATATTTACTTTAAATACCTAGCTATTGTAAACATACCATAAGTACATTTTTATTATTAAATAACTGTACGGAGGTATGAATTTCTCGTTATTATTAGCGGTTTCAATTAGACAAATGATCAAAGAGACGAGAAAGATCTTCAAATTCCACAGATAACATTGGATAATACTACTAAAGGAACATACCCATTTTCGCTCAATCAAACCAGATTTAAAAATAAATAAAACACAAATAAAAAATAAACTGACATCAATTCTTTATTCAAACTCCATAAAAATAAAATTGTACTATTTTGGTAGCCAGTGCCACTAATCAACTTCTAAGCGTCTGAAGGATCCTTCTACTCCGAATAAGTTGGAGGAGTTCTTTGGACAGCCAGGCCTCTCGGACTCCTCCGAGCGTGCCTCCTCTTGTTTCAAGAACCAGTCGCGGTAACTCTCTACTTTAGCTTTCCAGTGATCTGCGAAAATTACATTATGTGTGAGTTTCTAGTCACCGCTTTAATGACACTTACGTTACTTTACTGTCTGTGAATTTGTATGCGTATAAAAATATCGTTGGTTTTCTCTCTGGTTAAAGTTTCAGGGACTTATTTCATATGAAGTAAACAGCCTCCTGACTGATTAAAGAAACTGACTTGCAAATCGTGAACTTAGACAGTTTTCTGTCAGTTCCTATATGTGAGACACTTAGTATTGTAAAAAGGAACACACAAAAATATTTATTTGAATATAAATATCTCAAACTCCTAAAGAGACCCATATGTCACAGATGCAGATACATTGTCTGTGAGTAAACATATTATGTGTGTATGTCGTCATAATGCACTGAGAGCTGTTTAATTCTGCAGTCTACAAAGTCTACAAGCCATTACTGCAATGTAATTACACAATAACAATGACTACTTCCATTTTCTACTTACTAGTAATTTGGAGTTAAAGAGTTAATGCAATGATTTGTGGTTTTTGGACTAATATTGACGACTTTAATTGTACCTGGGTGAATTTCAACAAGAGATTTTTATGTATCATTTCGGTGGGATTTTTTTATTTCAATGCAATCTATATATTTTTAGTGACAAATAATACTTTAGTCTATTTTATAACATTGTGCGTGAGTGGACATCAAATATTATCAAAACTTACATAAACATTTAAGGATAAAGTTTTAAGAGTCCACTGAAATTAAAAGTGTCCACCGAAATGATAAAAATTACCACCGAAATGATAAATCCACCGAAATGATACAGCTAAGAACAACCGTGCCCCCAGCCAGGGTTCCGTACTTTGTTAGGTTTGATTTCCACAAATTTTAGATAAACACTGAGACAGGACAGTATACAGTTTTTTTAATATCATCATTAATATACAGATATTACAGTTAGTATTATTACATATATCATTATTTGAAGTTACAATAACCTCAAAGAATGATATTAATGTAATGTAATGTTTATTATGATATGAATGAATAGTTTCTTTACTTTTATAACCTTTGGTAATTTTTGTGGTTGTTGTTGTGTGAAAATGTTGGAAAACTTTATCGTAAATGCTGGTAACCTTAAATAAATATTTTTGCTTGTTTATGTACTAATACTAATTTACTTGATATATTTTCAAAAGAATCAACGTATCGCGATTAGAAAGCTTAAAGTTTCAGATTAATATGATGGTTGCATTTGTAAGTTATGTCATTAATAGTAATACCTAATGTCTACCTATTGCACTAAGAGAAAAATGCTAGGTATAATTTAGTTAAATTGGTAACGAGAGGAGAATAGTGTTTCTACAGGTATATCAGTAAAACTTCTAAAATTAAATCAACTCTTATATTTTTAAAATACAATAAATGAATAAGAAACATTATAAAAATATCTTAGTAGTAATAGCTTAGTACTTTTAATCCTTTTACATAAACGTATGAAACATAACAGAAACCTGAGATTGAGATCACTTTATTCTTAAATTACTACAACAATAGAGAAACGTACATATCTAAATAGAAAAAAAAACAACAAAGTTTTGTTCTACCTATAACTATAATTCGCAATTATGTATAAGTAATTCTTATACCTAATGCGAATTATAGTTATTCCAATAAAACGGTCTTTCTGGGTACGTATTTACGAGTAGGTTCAAGTATGTAGCTTAAAGATTAATTTTTCATCATGTCACTTTAAATCACACAATTATTTCTCAAATTCACTAATCAGCCTCTTTTCATGACTATAAATATAGGTTTTTAATTTAGATATGTACCTAATAAACAAATCTTCTTTAATTATCACATCACAGCACGTCTTTACTATAATTATTATAGTCATGAGTCTTCTTTAATAAGTTTAACTTCCTACCTAAAACAAGTCATGCCATTAAATGACAGCAAATATTTAAAAAACTAAATATACAATAACAAAAATCAAAAAATATTCAAATCAGAACTGGACGAAGACGAAGATAATCTTCTTACTTTTCTCTTCTTGGCTGTAATCATGATTTCTTCTTCGCTGTCAATATTTCTTGTCCGTTCATACTTTTCAATAATTTCAGTATCATTGTTTTCAAAAAATGAACACGATGGAGTGCTAAATTCATTGAAGTTTTCATATTTTTCGAGTAATGATTTGGGTATTATCGATGATTCCTGCTCATTCTCTCCTTTTTGATTATTCATTCCATCAAAGGAATGGGATGTTGAGGGCTTAATAATTGATATTTCAATGTTTGTGATTGAGTGTGTGTGTGGTTCATGTATGAAACTATTCCTTTGTAATTTTTTGGAAAGATTCTTTTCATTGAATGGCTTGGGTAGTACTAATTTTTCTGACAGTTGAATTGGACGCAGATGTGCTATATTTGTATTATTTGCAAAATTCGTTGATTGAATCCCAGTGAAGTCATGAAAACCTAAATGCTTGCCGTGAGGGCACCTAATAGTTTTATTTAGGCATTCTCTTTCAATACAGGACAGATGTCGAAGTGCCAAACGGTTTCCTGACTCTTTAGACCAAACAACTTGGTGAACTTTCATAGTTCCCGGAAAAGTCTTTAAGTCTTTGGGCAAGAGCCAATCTTTTTCTGTCACCTGATAATCTTCAACTGTTTCAATTTTCACACCTTTAACATAACACTGTAGGTTTTGTACCAGCGATTCAATATTGGTAATATCATGTTGATATGAGACTTGTTTATCTAGCGTTCTCTTTAATACTCCACCCACTCCATCTGCTGCGCTTTTTCCATGACCACACTCACAATAGTTCCAAATTATGTGGGTCAGCATCGGACAATAGGAGGATAACTGAGTTATTATATATAATATATTTTTATTCCTGTATTGCGCAGATGGTGAGTCAGAAATAACGTAAAGTTTACGAACCAGAGGAGCAGTTATCTCAATTTCTTGCAAAACAGGAATGAGGTGTGCCCATACTGCAGCAGCATCATGCCTTAAAGAGGTACTTACAGTACAAAATGACTGAGTTTTGTAAGTTTCGTTGTCGAGTTTGAAATATATTACGACAGTATGCAAAGTGAACTGTTGTCTGCTACCACCAAAATGAAGGGATTGAATTTCGGATCCATATTTGGCATTATAATTTTCACTGAAATCAATTTGTATAATACAGTCTTCCGTAGTCATATTTTCTTTTAACGTTTTGAAAGCTTGATTTTGATTTTTATTATTGACGCAATGTTTAAGGAATGGTTTCAGGCTATCTTCGAATTTTTTTATTAAATCTAGTGGTTTCACCCAACGCCTTACTTTTTCAACTTTAATAGCAGATTTTTCTACATTATTTTTGACATATATGCTTTTATTCTTCTCCCAACCCCAATACGCTATGTTCACTTCATTATTAAACTCTTAATAATCAATGTGTCTATTTTTACAACTTGAGCATATTCTTTGCAGACAATCGATGTTATCTTTACTACAACATAGGCTACTTAAAACGTCGGATATTGTATTTTCTTTGATAAGGCGGTTTCTTTTCATAGATTCAATCAAAAGTTTCATATTTTCGTGCTTTTCACATAGGCATGTATTTCGTGCATTCACATTTGGTTGAGTGACCCAGAAAGGCTTCATTCTTGAAAATGTTGAATAGCTTATCGGTGGTTCTCCTGATCCCAAATATTTCAAGTGTAAATTTTTAAGTGTGTCTGTCAATAGTTTTTTTTTTCGTTTTTTTAATCCATGTCTAGATATGGTGTCATTTTTTCCAGGACACAGTGTTGAATTTTCATCATCTTCTAAAAATTTCACCACCCTCCTGAGAATTCGATTTTTTTTTTTTCATCAGGTTTTATGACTTCTACTGCTGGTTTTTCTCCTTTTTGGGTACTTTTCTTCAAAATCATATAATTGCTTTGTAGTCTGTTACACCTTTTTTTGAACATTTCTTTTTCCTTAGTTACCTGTAATAATGTTTTGTAATTCTGTTATTAGCTTAGTTTTAGTTTTTTGATATTTTCGAAATTTGTCTTTAAGTCCTCGCTTGAATTCTACAGATGTAATTGACGAGTCTGAAACAGGGGTGTTGGGGCATAATGTTGACTCGATACTACTTAGATTTGATGGACATGTTATTCGTTGTACGCCACTTGGCTGTACACAATGAGTGCCAGTTACTACATTGTCATCAATATGATGTTGAATATTGGAACCAATTGTACTATCGCTATTCATCGGCAAGCAGCGCCGAGCCGAAGATGGATTCCCTTGACGAGAAGTGCTTGGACCAGGATTGCTATAGTCAAAATTTACAAAATTTTGATGCGTTGATAGCAGGGTTTGTCGTGGACTGCTTGTGTATACCCGATGAAAGCTTCTAGCTTCTGTAGTATTAGAACGTTGGATTTGGATATTCGTACTAATACTATTGCTGTTCAATCGTAAGCTGCGCCGTAAAGTAGGCAAGAAGGAACTGTCACAGGAAGTGCTTAGTCCAGGACCATCACTTTGATCCCCAATTGTCTCATCCAGAGGGTTAGCACGAGCCGCTATAGGAGCTGGAGCTGCTCTATTTTTTTTTCTTTGGTAATAAGCAGCAGCACTTATTTTGTTTTTTCTTCTTAGAATTCTTAATTTTTTAGGGGTCATTAGATGCCTTGAAACAATTAATCCCGCTGCTTTTTTTCTGGCATACCTTTCTCTGTCTTTTCTCAAAAACTCTTCGCGTGAGACTTCATTGCTCTTAATTCTCTCTTTTCTTCTTCTTTCATACAACCTCCTTTTTTCCAACCTTTCTTCTCTAGTCTGTTGCTTAGGCCGCGGCATCCTAAAATCAAAATACACGCTTTTCAATTTTCTACTTTCTCATATCCACAGACATACATTCATACACACTATACTATGATCCTATAAAATACTATACCTAAATAATCTAATCGACACTCTAGGTAAAAGTAGGTACATTACAAAACTATGACTTTGTATTTGACACTAGGATCTCTAAAACTTTATGTTTTTATCATTTCGGAGATACTTTTAATTCCGGTGGACTGTAATTGGTATAACAGTCCACCGAATCCACTGAAATGATAACACTGAGATGATAAAATAGAGGTTAGTTCTACATTTAACTCCGAAAAAAAATTTTTAAAAAAATATGAACACTACTCAAACAAAACAGTACTTACTGCGAATTTAATACACAATTTTGAAACAAATTAAACAAATCTAGCACGAGTTATAACAGCCACCGAAATGAAACTATTTTTGTCCCCATATTACTGAAATGATAAACTTACTTTTTTGGCGGGAAACCGCAAGACGTTGGGACCGGTGCGTTCGCGCCGAGAGCTTAAGCCGGACTGATCCGGAGTGAGAAAAGGTGAAAGGGGCGTAACAACGCAATGTTGATGTGGCTATTCTACTAAAACTTACTGTCCTCTGAAATGATAACTTTTTTCCAGACAAAAGTTGACTGCCTGTCAAATCCATGAGAAAGAAGATAAACAAACAAAAATTGTTTTATTTGATCGAATATATAATAATTTAATGATAACAAAATCAATTTAAATCCATATTACGAATGTATTTGCAGGAGGAGGTATGTTATGAGCGGAATTGGGTTCAGGACAGGTCACCGTGATGATAAAATAACACTTTGTAATTTTTTTTTTTGGGTATATTAGAGGGTAGATACCAATGATTTTTTTTGCCAAGGTAGAGAAATACTTACGTTGTTGAGAAAAAATATATAAAATTAATAATCAGCACATTGCACTACCGTTCTCAGGTTTGCCGTGTATTTTTTTGCTTGGGCAATTCACCCACCTATTAAAATTCCAGTATTGAGAAAGTTAATTATCGAACTTGATGGCATAATGTATACTTATTAGATAATATTACATTTTTAACTAAGGTAATATTCATACTTAAATATTTCACACTTACTTCACTAACATTTAGAAACTGCCTAATTTGTATCATGTTTATTAATCAAACATGTTTTGAGCATGTAAGAAATCATTATAAAAATTAAAGGAAAGGTTTCGTTTCCTTTAATTTTTAAGTTTCGTCCCGGTACATGGCAATAGGCTCACCCCCTATTACATGGGACTCATAACATAAATAGTGAAAAGTGGGTGTTACATTATAGAGGTACAGTGACATAATGTGCACCTCTGCCTGCGTGTTATGTGAAACCTACATAAATTAATATAACATCACGCCTTTTATCCCCGAAGGTACCCCTTCGGGGATAAAAGGCGAAACCTACATTACCTCTGCCTACCGGCAGAGGTAATGTAGGTTTCGTTTTAAAAATTCTTACATCTGTCAAAATAGATCCAGTTACTAAGCCATTTTAAAGATTTTATCGCGCCATTTAACTGAAGGGCTCTTAATGTCCCACAGACTTCTAGAGTCTACCATATTATTATATTGTATACATGACAATAGTTACCTGTTAATTCTTGCAAGGAGCCATCAGTGCCGCCATATTCCACAGGAAGGATAGACTTTGGTATTGTTTTATACATGGCCGGATAATTTTGATTGTGAACACGAATCTGTAACCCAAACAATAGTGTTATTAATCCACTGCATTTGTTAAGCCTACAGCCCACTTCAATGAATCTATACTTGTATTACTATTGGTTAGAACTTGTTTAAACAAAAATTACCGGGAAACATGACCAATACGAAATGTATTAAATTGTAATCATTAATGTTTTCTATTGGCATGACAAAGGCCTGACGACTTTTATTCCTGGAATGTGTAGCCAGGCATTATTATACCATTAGAAATATCGACGTTCCCTCGTTTGTCCGACCTAAGAAATTATACAAGCAGACGAGGTCGGCACTAACTTCAATTGACTTAAACGAATATGCACATTCAAACCTGAGACATTTTTACATATGATTCTGGTATTTCTATTAATTTACCGAAGACGCTGTGATACAGTACAAGCTGGTGAAACTAGGAAGTACTAGTTTTATCCGGAAATACCAAAGAAAGAAGCTATAATTTAGACGAAGTAAGAAACACATGCAGAAAAAGCTGTTAGGAGAAAATTAATAAAGAAATTAACACGCTATACAATTAACACATTATACTAACTACTAGAATGACAACCTGATTAGGTAATAACATATTAAACCGGCAAAAGTAGACCTGGTTACTATTAACATTAATAGAACTACAAAATATAAAGGTGTGATGTTACGACCTGTTATATTCAGACTAAATTCCTTACCCTTTTCTTTAATTTGTCCGTTAAAAATGCTTTGAAAATTTTGAAGGCAGTTTCGAATCCTACAGGCGTGTTTAAAATATGAGCCCCCTTCACTCGAATCGGCAGACCCTTCTCAAACGACGAGATGACTTTCTTGGCTAACGCTGGAGTCCATTGACTTAAAACACTTATACCTACATCTTTCATGTCAATTATTAGCACCTGAAACATGAAAAGAAAATGAGAGACAAAGTTATATGTAAAGATTTGATTATGAATGCTTTTAAAAACGTCTTCGTAGGCATTTTTTCACCGAAATACAAATTCCTTCAGAAAGGAAGGTAAAGGTAAGGAAAGAAAGGTCTGTAAGCGACCCTTATAATCCCATCCTGACTGGAATGCCGTCAAATTGAGCTTACCTCGCCAGCTACGGAGAAATTGTCATCTTCAAGCATTAATATCTCGGTCACCATGAGAGCTGTCTTAATTAAGTCAGACAGGTGGTACTTCGAAGGGTCAAAGACCCCAACCCTTACTATACTTATTCGAGGCGCATCTTCTCCAGCGCAATTCTTCAATGGTAGAAACGCTCTGAAAGTAAATGAAATATTCATTTTTATCTATCCAGCGGGCTGAATGACTACTGCTAAAATATAAATGTATTCGCACAAAAATAAAAGTAGAACGCTGGAGCCGTTTCCAAAACCACATTTCAGCCGAAAGTGCCCACTGTTCCACTTTCCTCATTTAGTCAGCATTGATTAGACGCTGGGGTAAAAATATTTTCTTACCCGAGTTTAAGTATTTCTTGAACCTTAGCTCCGCTGGGATCTCTATTTGCGAAAAATTCCGGTATAACGGATTTTAAAGTGTAATACATATCCAACTTCTCTTTGGCTCTTTCAAGACTGTATTTCCCACCGCGCAAAAATCCTATCAGCCATTGATCCGCTGAAAATAAAATTAGCATTACTTTTTTTACTAGTATCAAAACTATATTTTACGTATGCCTGACTTGTTTTGCACTTACTATTATAAATATTATGACTATTGGTAATTTCTTATGTTTAAATTAAGTACAATGAAAACTGAAAATGATACTTGTAGCGACATCTATTCGATTTACACTGAAACGAATAAAAGAAACAACACCGCAACTGGCGTCACTATCGTCGACACCAGTCGCAATGAAAATTGTGGCACTTGATATCGTACAGAAAATATATAATAGATGTCGCTACCAGTCGCACATTGACATTTTTAATATTTACTGCAATGTTTTTCTTTTTTATACGTTTATTATTTAAGTTTTGTCTATATTAGGAATACATATTAAAATACAGATTTCAAAAATCTAAGTCGTATAAAAGATGGTTTTTAAACGACTTAGAAAGAAGTTGGAAGTTAGAAGAAAAAGTGATACCTATAGGATATTGTACAAATCCTAAAAACATTTGGAAATACCCACTTATGACCTTTCATAGGCAATAGATAATTATGATCGTACTTATAGCACTTACTTGGTTGTACCGATTGAAGATGTGGTTGTTTTCTGAGCCATTCTCTTATAGCTAGAAGATCAGACTTCACTCTTTTTGGTTTCTCATTCAGTTCTTTCTCAGCTATCTTCTTCAAAGCAGGTGGTAGTGGCCTTAGAGCCATGTTTACCAACTTGTTGTCAGGTCTAACTCATTTATTACAATCAGGCAACGGATAAAACCTGCAATTATCAATTTTATATTTTTGTGTTTTTATTGTTTTGCTTGACAAAATGTGCACACTGCATATTGCGTGCAGTTATACCTATCAATCACAATCATAATGAAACAATATGAGATAATTCTATTTTTTTAACAGACTTCAAAAAAAGGAGGAGGTACTATGTTCGGCTGATTGTTTTTTTTTTTGTTTGTTCACGCTCGCGCATTACTCCGCCATTTGTGAACAGATTTCCAAAATTCTTGTTTTGTTTGAAAGGGTATACTCCCGAGATGGTCCCATTGTCATGAGGTCGTGAGATCAGATAATGGGATCCTAGGGAAACCGAAGGGAACTTTCGAAAATCCTAGGGGCGAGTAATGCTTCTAATATTGTTTTTAATTAGGATTTTTAAACACTACAATTTGTGTCTAATATTGTACTTTGCACCCGTCAAAGAGTCTACTGAACTACTTCAATACAATTTAAACACCTCTACGCATTGAAAAAAAATCACAATTTTCAAAGTGCAAGAAACACATTATCACATAACGAATTGGACTGTATATACAATACAATAGTCGTAGGTACTGAACAATAAAAAAATCTTTCCTTGTTCGGTAAATAGACTAATTACTTAATTATACCTACCTAGAGGATTTAGCGGACATGATAAATAATAATCGTTGCCAGAAATGGGTACCTACTGTTGATATCAATACTTATTAATGACTTTCACTGTGCCATAATACTGATTTGCCATTTTTTATGATTTCAGTTATTCTTGTGACAATAACACCTTGGACACATAACATAACATAACATCACGCTTTTTTATCCTCGAAGGGGTAGGCAGAGGTGCACATTACGGCACTTAATGCCACTGTACAATGTAACACCCACTTTTCACTTTTTTATGTGAGTCCCATGTAATAGGGGGTGAGCCTATTGCCATATACCGGGCACAATTCCAGACTCCGTGCTACTACTGAGATTTTTAAAAACCCAGTAATACTTTGCCCGACCCGGGAATCGAACCCGAGACCCCTTGCCCGGCAGTCGTACTTGCGACCACTCGGCCAACGAGGCAGTCTAGTAACACCTTGGACTACCTAGAGATTCCATTCTTCTACATTCCATTCTTCTATAATGGTCTAACTTCTAGACCAAAATCCAGGTACCTACATCATTTAAATCATTCAGGGCAAATGCAAATCTAAAGGACCTGTATTTGTGATCTGAATGTCATTGGATGACGAGATGACCTACCTACAATCTTAATATAACCGGTTACTTAAAGTGCGACTGTCAAAAAGTCAGATGCCCTAAACAGCAAATCTAAACCTGAATTTTATTTAATCTCGTCAATATTAAAGTCCTGACATTGTCCACCTGGGTCTGGTTATGACCGGTGTGTTATTGGACTCGTATTAAGTATCTTATAAATTTGTGGGTGAGGAAAATCTCTCCAAATATACCAAAAAACAAAAGAATGCTATGGAAATAATTTAAAAAAACATGCAAGTTTTTAAAGATGTAGTTTATGAAAATTATGATATACGTGATATGGCTATAACCATTTTATATAAAACTAATGAACAGTTCACGATAAAATTAAATACTATGATAGGTCAAACTTGAATTACTCATATCACAACATATTTATCTATGTAAAACAAAAGAAGCCGCGAATGGAGTCTAGTATTTCATAATTAAACTCCCAGTCGTTAATTAAATTACCGAGTAAGTCACGAAGCTTACCGATTACACCTATAAATATATTCCTAACAAGGTGATATTAATTACATTGTTTACTAGAATAGGTACGTAGGTAAGTACGTAATATGTTTAATAATTAATATGAAAAATTTGGGTACCTTAGGTTACTTGACCCACAAAATCACTGTTTATGAACTGCTTGTTGTGAACGGAACTTCCTACTTCTGACAATTAAACAGGTGCAATGAGCCTGTAATATTTTATAACTAATCACTGATTAGATAACATGATAAATATTATTAAAATAATTAATGAAACAAAGGTTATTACTGACCACGGTGCGGCGCGCGACGGTGCGATGAAATGTTGCTCTTCTCGTAGGACAACTAACTAAAAACATTGAATATCAAAGATTGGTCAGTTGTTATATGACATAATCTTTTAAACAGTATAATATTTATACCTTCCTACGCTTTAGGTTAAGACCAAAACTACAACAAAAGAAATGTCAAGACGAAGATTATTTTTGTCCCTTGCGTGTAATATTACAAAAATAATCTTAACACAAAATATCATTCTACTCTTTTGTGTGGCAATAATGTCTATTTATCGATAAAAGGGAAGCATTAATGTAATTTTATATAGGTCTATTATAAACATAATTTAAGACAACAACCGAACAAAAAGTGAAAATAAAAATGAGTCACTGAAAGTGTTGCTTAGAAGTGTTTTACGTAGGTACCTACACAAAAATGAAAACGGAAATAATTAAAAACACGATCTCTACCGAACATTACATTACATAAAGTTTTTTTGCTAGTAATGCTTGGAAGGAAAATGTTTCCTTCCAAGCATTACTAGCAAAAAAACTTTTCGCCATTTTGTCAAAAACTAGAAAGTATAGGTATGTTTCAGGCTTTAATCAAACATTATCACTTAATCATATATAACTGATAATAAAAACTAAACAACAAATACATTAAAATTGAAATGATAAAACATAATCAACAAAAGACTACCACAATAAAACGATAAACTTAATTCATTAAAGCAATAGATATTGTATTTTTACTTACCATGGAATACAAAAGTCCTACATTTTACTATTCACTGGGCACAAATCGCAAATCCATTAAATCTTTTATCTTAACCAAACATACTGCACATCACTACTTGATAATGTAAGCTAGCACAGATTTGCCAAAATGTATCAAAAACTATGAGAAGGTGATGTCAAAGTCGGTTTGTATATTTTACCGCCAAACAACTGATACAGTAGCTGATCTCACACTTGTAAAATGTAAGAAGCGTTATCTCGCAGTGACATTGAGACTACCCATTTCATACCCAACTTCATACTAATATTATAAAGACGAAAGATTGAACTGTGTGTTTGCATTAAATAGGCTCAGAAACAACTAGACCGATTTTATTCTATCAATCGTTGCAAGACACGCTAATCTTTAAGGAGTAACGTAGACTATTTTGTATCCTAATGTTTCCACAGATTTAAATCTATGGTAGAAAAATCTTGTATACTCCACGCGAGTGAAACCGCAAGAGGAAATCTAGGCTAATATAAATGAATACCTAGATTATATGTAGACACATTGTATGTACAAAGTGTGTAACTAATGTACACGTATTAATATTAATGCTAATTGAATAATAACAACGTGCTTTGTTTTTATAAATATCATGTATTCTGAAACGAAACTTGGGTATAGAGAGAACTCAAACTGCTCTAAGTATTCTTTTATTGTACCTAGGCACTCATCTCAGGCATGACAAAAAGACAATTTGGATAATTAGTAATATTAGGTGATTTTGTTATTTAAAATATGATTTTTAACTAACAATCGCTAGTTATTTACAGAATATAAAATAATTTGCTACTTTTTTGGCGTATCATCGTTACGCCTGTGCAATAGATGGGGACTCTTCCCCTCTGGCTATTGATATTTATTTCATTTTTACACAAGAAGGTAGTTGTTAGTTACATGTCGCGTCGCATGAGAAATAGTAGGAAGTTATATAAAATTTTCAAAAGTTTAATTGTTATAGAACTACACGTGGTTTTCAATCTACCATTGGTCCATACTTTTGAGGTACTGTGATTATGAACATATTAAGTTATATGAGTCACATGAAACGTTGTGATTACAAAATATTAATAAGTATCACTCTCAGATAAGAACCCAATGTACTGTGGAAGTGATACTGCCTGATAAAAACTAAATAACAACGGAAAACCAACAAAGCTATTAAATAAATTGCGTATAATATCTTGTATAAAAAATACACATAGGTACTTATTTACTTACCTTTTTTATACCATTTATTTGTGGTCATTTTTATTTAAAGAGAGAAATCAAAATTAAAGCAAAGTTAATAATGAGCAAAACGGCGCCAAATTACCTTTTTAAATAAAAAAAAAACAAGTTCGAAGCCAGTACTTTATTTAATTTAAAAATAATTTACTAAAAAGTTTTATTTATATGCCTAATTGCAAATTATTTTAAATTAGGAACGGGGTAATCAGTCTATATCAAGTTTTCTAAAGGATCCGTCTTCCATGAAGTCATTGGCGACTGGTGGACCAAGACGTTTCGACTCATCTGTTCCCAATCGCTCCTCCACTTTCATCCAGTCATGGTATTCTTTGAACTTGCCCACCCAATATTCTGTAAGTTTAAATGTAATAGTTGAATATACGAATTTAAGTAAAATTGTTTGCATCATTACTTGTCAAAAAGGTAAAAGACATAATGATCTGAAACTAACCTGTCAGTTCTGGAATAGAAGGTCCAGATCCACCGTATTCTGGGGGTACTACTTCTTTAGGAATGTCTTCCATCAGTTCCTCTTGATTTTTATGAATTTTCAACTGGAAACACAACGAAAAAAACTTAGTACATTTCCATATTTCTTTAGAAACTTGACAATATCTCGCCTTTTAACTTTAAGGACATGATGCTAGGTTTAACAAAACAATGTTTCCTATTCTTCATACACCAGCCCATTAAGTAATTAAAAATGTTTAACAGTATTTTTTTAATTCCAAAATAAAATGTCGTAATTCAAATCAAATAATTACCCTTTGTCTAGCTTTTTCATTTAAAAATCCTTGAATAATTGTGATGACCTTCTCAACACCAGAAGGTAGGTTTATGTGATGGCTGCCTTTCAGTCGAAGGGGCATGGAATCCTGAAATACATTGGAAAATACACTTAATAACATTGCATCACTATAAATAAATGTATTTTGTATACTATAGATTCAATTAGAAATAGTATAACGATGTTTAAACATTATTTTCAAGGTTAAATCACTTAAGAAAAGTCTGTTGTGCCCAAAATGATTAATAGAACAAAATTATAACAGAAATAACTGGTGTTCCGCAATAATTTTCAAGGATAATCTCAGATACAAAAAATAGCTATTATCGTACTTAAGAGACCAAATACTCGATAAGCATAGACGGTAACTTTTAAAACCAGCAGATTTGCAATGAAATATAAGCTATATTGCACTTAATTTATAGTTCAATTTAAATTGCATACGTACTTGGCTAACAGCAACCATTTTCTTCAGCATCGATGGAGTTCCTTGAACAAAGTGAGACATTGAGACTCCCACGTAGTCTGTGACGATCTTAATGCCTAATACACAGGCAATATCGTCTTCCAACACCATAATCTGAAAAACATCAATACATAGTATAAAACAAAGTCGCTTTCGCTGTATGTCCGTATGTATGCTTAGATCTTTAAAACTACGCAACGGATTTTGATGCGGTTTTTTTTAATAGATAGAGTGATTCTTAAGGAAGGTTTGTATGTATATACATATTGCACCCGTGCGAAGCCGGGGCGGGTCGCTAGTAAGATATAAAATGAAAAACACCGTTTTATTTGTCTACTAGGTAGGTAGAGATAGAGAGATCGAGAGAGGATAGACCCAACTCGGAGACAAAGGCGCGGTAGGAATCGCCGTAGAATTTTACTCCGAAAAAATAGGTTTTTTTTTAAACTTTGCCCCACAGTAGTATTATCTCCTGTGTCATAGGTGCGTTTACAAACATACAAGTTTACATACACATGACACCCAGACCCGAAACAACTATTTGTGGATCACACAAAGTGTTGTTCCGTGCGGGAATCGAACCCGCGACACGTAGCACGGCAGCCGGTTGCCCAGCCACAGCACCGTGCAGGTAGTAACATAATTTGAGTGTCGCAGGTGAGTTCGTTCATTCGAGTACCCAATGACTCTCTCATTGTTTCCTAGGATTGAGTGTGTGGTTTCAGTCGGTAAGAGTCCGACATAACCTGCTGTCTGACGGTCATTGTCTAGACAAAGGGTATCCATGAGGATTTCCACACGTTAAAAAAAGTAGATACAGATAGCTCATATTGTTGGTGACACCTACTTTTAAACAGTTTCTTGTAATAAAAGGTGCTATTGTCTATAGAGAGGCTTTAGAAGCTGTACTAAGGCTCAGAATTTCGGGATTGAAACAATAATGTTTTGTACCATCCAAGAGTCGAATCTAAGAGATCTTTTGGAATCACATCTCTCAATTAACAAGGTGGTTACTAAAATTACCTACATCAATGATTCATGTAACTGTAATATAATGAGCACTTTTCGCACGTTGTTGCTACCTACCTAGGTACTTTGTAATCTGAAGTGTTTTAGTCATCAACCTTCAATTTATCAATCATTCAGTTATCGCGAAATTAATAAAGCTACCAAGTGCATCTGCACTGTATATACGTTTGTTATTCCATAATATGTAACATAACATTACGCGTATCTTATTCGAAAGGAATGCTGAATGTGAATATATTGTTTTTACATGACCGTAAACCCTAATAGGTCCGTAACCACAGAACATTCTTTATATGTTCTGTATCCGTAACCATGAATTTGCTCTTGATAATTTTGATGTTATAAGAAAAATCGTTTATCTTTTACAAAGTTCAGAACTTATTGATAGAAAATCTTTCAGCAGCTTTCGACAGCTGGCCTTTCCTGGTCTGGTAGAAGCTTCGTACTAGACTTGACAAAACGTCCGAAATTAGTAACTAATCTCAATGTCTTTAAATTAAGATCGATTTCAAAGAGTTTCTATTATTCCGAAAGATAATTCGCCGTAAGAATAGAAGAATAAAACGGTAAATGAATAGTACAACATTACCTGAACTAAATAATACAGCATGCACATGATTTCGCCTACATTATGTTCCGATGGGTCGTATCTGCCAGCTCGGATGAGCAGCACTCGAGGACACAGCTTGCCTTTCGGATTTGGTAAGATTAAACACGTTCTGAAATAAGGAGAAATGAAATAGTTAATATTATAAAAAATATAGACCACTACATCTGTAATTGTTAGAATTATAATGAAATTGTAAGAAATTCGTGCGCTTTCTACACTTTCAAATATTCATAGTTCAATGGGATCGGTTACATATTTGTCATTTGTTTCTGTTTGTTTCTTCTACATGAGATCGAATAGAAGCATGGCAAAAAAATACTTTATAATGCTGACCTTCTCATTTTGGACCTAGGTTTGCCAATGTTTTAAGGTACATACGATACCTAATAAAATTTTCTTACCCAAGTCTAAAGAATTCCAAAAACTTAGGATCTGTGGGTTTGATTCTAAGTGTAATTTCAGGTGCTGTAGTTCTGAGAGTGTAGTACAAATCTAGCTTCTTCTTAACTCTTTCTAGACTGAACTTGCATCCTCTTAAAAACGCTATGAGCCATTGGTCCTCTGAAATGTATAAAACATAGTTTAATTTTTAATCATTTATTTTTTAAAAGTATACTATATCTACAGTTAAGTCATCAAACAGCTCTAAAATTCTAGACGGGAAATATTATTTCTGTAATATTCGACTGCAAAATTACAAGCATTAGAATCGTGTAACACAAAAGATTTAATTTTTATTCCGTGATTGCAATTACATCCTGACCATTAATTATTTCCTTAGTTTTAAACCGACATGAACATGTAAAATATTAATACGATGCAGGTTTTGAAGTATACATTCTTGGTCACGCAGAAAATGCGATTTATTATAAACTTTCCCTACTATTATCGAGTAAATATAACAATAAACTATATTTGCATCAAGTATATAAGTTATTTGCATATTATATTCTAGTAAAACTGGTAAAACTACCACAAGAAGCATTTTCCTTGAAGTGATTAGCTATGTACTAAAATTATGTGTTTGTTATCATTGTTTTAATGTAAAAATTGTATTAAACGATGTCTGTGAAAAACACAGATTAAGATCGAATTTCATATAGATAGTGTTATCGACTTATTTTAAAGAAAAATAGTATCATAACCATTGATATATAAGGTTTTTTTATTTATCAATGATCGTACCACATCCGTGTTGATCGAATGAAAACATTCATGGTAATAGCTACTTAGTGATAGGTGTAGTCAGTTTAATTGATAAATCATGAGCACAGTTCATAGATAACTCTACAATACTAAACAAACTAACTATAGAAATTACTACATTAAAATCCTTATGCCATTCTCCCTCCTTACATGAAAGTCCTGGTATAAGCATCAACAATAAGAAGAAGCATGTTTTCCCACAGCAAAACATGTGTTCAACTCCGGCTACTCCGGCTTCTCCATCATCATTATTAAACAGCACCAAAACGAACGACAACGAAATAATATCAAGTTTGAAATTGAATATTACAACCCTGCAACAGCAACTGGAGGCCGCCCAGAAGGAGATTGCTGCTCTCACAAATCGTATCGGCTTAGTAGCACAATGGAATCACACAATTCGTAATTGTGATACTTCTACTCGTAAACTACAACAGCACTCGGTGAATACTAATGACCTACGAAATGTTACCTCCGACAAGACCATATTTATTGTCGGTACTCAGCGCTGTGTCGGGCTTGCTGCTGCAATGTCACACTCTCGTACGTCTACGCAGTATGAGAGATACAGAGTTGTAGGCGAAACAAAGCCTAATGCATTGTGTAACGAAATAGTAACTAGTTGTGATAATCTTAAGTTAAATTCTAATGATAAACTTGTAATTTGATTAGGTGAAAATGATTGTAACCCACAATTAATTCTCTCTCAATTACACATAATATTAGATAAGTTCAAAAATAACAATATATATGTCCTCAATGTCCTAAATAACATACATTTAAACACCAACAAATTAAATTATTCAATTAAAAATGTATGTCATCAATATAAACAATGTAGGTTTGTATATGAAAATTGTATTAATCTACCCGATATTTGTAAAAGGTTGAATTATCTTATAGATTGCAACGATTATAATGATAAATATCTAAACCCTACTAAAATTAAAGACATAATATGTGCTAATAGTAACAAACCAAGTCTAAAATTAAACAGTGGCACAAGCCAGATTAAAAAAGGTACTATTCCTTATTATTTCCGCGTCTTAGAACATTCGACTACTTTGAAATGTAGTCCCGTAAAACAACCTACTACTAAGAACCAAAAAGGAACAATACCCTGTTATTTCCCTGTAGTAAATAAGAGTAACCCATTTTTTCGTACCTAAACCTATAAAAAACCATCATTTTAAGATTTTCCACCAAAATATTGCTAGCATATTATCAAAACAAGAACTTTTAGATATTACTGTTCAGGATTTAAAAGATGAGAATAATGATCCAGACGTTATATGCCTATCTGAAACCTTCATAAAAAAGGGTACAGAAAATTACGTCAAAATACACAATTATGAAATGGCTAGTAACTTCTGTAGAGATAAACAAAGAGGTGGCACTTGTATATTGGTAAAAAAAGGGATACAGTACAAGGAATTATCATCTATAAAACTAGGTGCCACACAAAATATTTTCGAAGCTTGCGGCGTAGAAATAATTCTACATAAAAAGTTGATAATTATATGCGTTTACAGAACTCCTCAATCTGATCCCATACAATTTCTAACAAAACTTCGTAATCTGTTACAAGCTTTACAAAATAAATACAACGCTAGAGTTAATATTGTTATTGCTGGTGATACTAATATAAATACGTTAAAAAAAGGCAACATTACAAATGAATTCCAAGATTTATCTAATAATTACAATTTAAAAATACATATTGACGTCCCAACTCGTAAATCTTCATGTATTGATCACATCTTAAGCAACATTGACAACGCAAATGCAACAGTATTACCTTTATATCTATCAGATCATGATACTGCACAGATGTTAAGCTTTCCTACAAAACACATATCAACAAAATCAGATACTTACTATGTTTATAAAAGGGACTATAACATAAACCATATACTTAAATTTAAAGAATGTCTACATAATCTTTCATGGTGTGACGTATATCTAGATAGTGATCCTAATTCCGCTTATAACAAATTTCACGAGTTGTTTTGTCTTATGTATAATCTTTGCTTTCCCAAAATTAGAGTGAAAATTAATACCAATAAAACAAATGTACAAAAGTGGATAAGTAAAGGTTTACGACAAAGTTGCAAAACTAAACGTAAGCTACGCTTTCAATATTATAACAATAAAAATCTAACTAACAAACTTAAATATAATAAATACTCTAAATTACTAAAGATTTGTATATTAAACTCTAAAAAACAAACAAACATAAACTATATTAACACGCATAAAAATAAATGTAAAGCTACATGGTCAGTAATAAAAAACGAAACAAATCAAAGCAACCAGAAGCACAATATACAAGCCTTAAAAATAAATGGTACTGAAATCATTGATCCTGAAAAAATGGCATCAGTGTTCAATGATCACTACGTAGAACTTGGTTCCTCCATAAAGTTAAAAACGAATGCTGATCAAAACTATAACGCAGCTAATGTAACTAAACAAGCTAACTCTATGTTCCTAAAGCCAATGCTCGAAAATGAAGTGCGACTAGAAATCGCGTCATTATCTAATACTGCGTCTACAGGATATGATGAAATAAGCACAAAAATTATAAAAGCCTGTCACTGTGAATTGACCAGTATCTTTACTTATTTAATAAATTTATCTTTTTCAATCGGGACCTTTCCCCAATTGTTAAAACGATCAGTTGTAAAGCCCTTATTTAAAAAAGGAGACAAATCTGACATAAATAATTACCGCCCTATAACTTTAATACCTGTGATATCTAAACTCTATGAAAAATGTATGTATAAAAGATTAATTGATTACTGCAATAAATTTGAAATAATAAACAAAGAACAATACGGTTTTCAAAAAAATAAGTCTACCACTTTAGCCATTTTCTCTCTTATGAAAGATGTGCTCTCTAATGTTAACAATAGGTACTTAACTACTGGCCTCTTTTTTGACTTGTCGAAAGCATTCGACTTAGTGTCACACGATATCTTACTTAAAAAGCTTGAGATTTACGGAATCAGAGGTCCTACGCTTTCATGGATAACTTCCTACTTACACGATAGACAACAATGTGTCATTGTCAATAGACTTAACAAGAAAAAAGATATTGTCTCTTACTCCTCCGAGTACAAACATAATAAATTTGGCGTTCCACAAGGAAGCGTACTTGGCCCAATACTATTCTTACTCTACATAAATGACATAATCACCATTACAAAACATAAATGTATATTGTTTGCAGATGATATATCTTTTATAGTATCATCTGATAAAAAATACTACACCATCACAGATCATGAGATAGAAATTAATAACACAATCAGCAAGTTATTAAACTGGCTTGACGCAAATCGTTTAATAATAAATCTGGATAAATCTGTTTATATTCAGTTCCATCAATTAAATAATATTAATAACACAAATAACCTCAATGTAAACAAAATTAAAGAAGTATCACATACTAAATTCTTAGGTGTAACAATAGATAAAGATACCAATTGGAAAGAACACGTCGATAATATAAGTAATAAAATTAATAAGTTTGTTTATGCACTAAAACACGTAAAAGACATAACCAACCAAAAAACTGCGATTATCTGTTATCATGCGTATGTAGAATCACTGTTACGATATGGTCTCATAGTGTGGGGTAATAGCACCGATGTAAGTCGAGCATTTATAGCCCAAAAGAAATGCATTCGTGCAATTTGTGGACTCCAACCTGAGGTCTCATGTCAACCAGCGTTTAAGAGACTTGGTTTGTTACCTTTACCGGCTCTCTATATTTATGAAATATGTGTATTCACTGCCAAAAATAAACATTTATTTAAAACGGCGAATGACTTATGCCAAAGAAATAGACGTGATGTTCATAGGCTAGTGGTGAATGATTTCCCGCGGCTAACAAAATACAACAAAAACTGCCTTGCAATGTGTGTAAAATTGTACAATCACTTGCCAACTGAGTTTAAAATGTTAAATATAAGATTATTGAAAATTAAACTACATAAATGGCTGATTGAACATAACTTTTATAGTGTAAAGAATTTTATGGAAAAAAGAACATAGTTATTAGTTATTAGTAGAGATTTGTCGGCAATTATATTAAAACGATGGTTAAATGTGAATAAATGATAATAATAAATAGTCCTAGTACTTATGTGTAATAATTTTTGTAAATAAAAGTGTCGGTACTTATAAGTCAGTAGCTAGAACACTGACAAAGTAACTGTCCAATTAATATATTTTGTTGCTCCTAATACTTAATTTTTGCATGCTGTTTTATTAGCTGAACATGTTTGTGCCTATTGTAAACCTAAGACCTTTTTATACCGTGTTTACTGCAAATAAATGTTTTTATTATTATTATTATTATTAATATCGTTATATTGCCTTCGTTTTACAGCAAATAAATTGAATTTAGATAAGCTATTAGTTGCTACGACCATTAACAATTTTGATAGTGGTTTAATATCAATGAAGGTTTTTAGACACTTGACTATAATTCCACGGGCACATCAACCCCCAAACCCGCAAGAAAATGAGGCAGAACCTCATTTTCTTGCACCTGATCTTTTCTCAATTAATTTTGCTGGCAGAACTGAGTGTTGATCAGATTTAATTGAATCAAAGCACTGGACTATCCCGTGTAAAATGACAAATACGTGGTTATTAATTTTTATCTGTTTTATCAAAGAGTTTACAGTGAATCGGTTGATAGTGTATAGAAGCCAATTTTAATATGTAAATATATGAATGAAATTCGTTACTACCTATGTTTTAATACATACTTCCACCATGGCAATTATTGTTAAAACTGAAGGCTACACTTCAGTTTACGAGTGTAGTATTTGAGATTAGCTCCGCGTATATGAAACACAAATAAACGGATTGTTACGATGTTAACTATACATCTTATTATTGTTCTACACTAACGCACTTCAAGCTAATCCAATCTGATCATTTTCTTCAACAGATTTTGGACTTAACGATAAAGTGGTAGAGTTGAAATTATATTTAAGGAGTCTGCATACCTGTTCTTGCTTTCAGGTGTGGTTGTTTGGCAATCCAGTCCTTCAAATGTTGTAAATCATTGGCTATTTGCTTTGGGTTCTCGTTCAATTCCTTTTTGGCAATTTCAGCCAATTCTGGAGTCAGTTCACGTATCATTGTGATGTTGTTTTATTTCTGTGGACGAATTCACAATAACTATTTTGTTATTTAGAATACAAACGCTTATCTGAAGCTACATTTAACAAAACGTATACTACCGCAGAATAAGAAAATGAATGGAATACAGAGAATAAATATTTTTTACTTTATCCAATGAAATTAATAACAAAACAAAGCACAACACACTACCATACGTCTGAAACACGCTATTACACTAACAAATATCGAACAATCACAAAACGAATCAATTGTTCTAACTAGTTTACATGGCCGAATCTAGACCAATAGCTCTGCAGAGCGACCTCTAATGATCGGTCTAATGTTGATCGTTGTTCATTATACTAATTAATAACTAGTTATTTATCTATTAGCATTAGATTTCCACCTGCTTCTCGTATCTTCAAGAATTATACAAATGGATCACTACTCGCTGACAAAAACTACAAAAATAAGAAAACAAATCACAAAAATTAGATTGTCTATTTAGATTTTAGATAGATTATTTTGAACAGAACAGACTACTAGACAGATAGACAAAAAGAAGCGGCTATACCGTTTCTTTTTGTCCATCTTTAGTTGTACAATCGTACAATATACTACATTACACTACTTTTAATAGCTTTTTTTACAAATTTACACAACATTCTATTGTGAGTAATAGGGATAATAGCCATAACAATTTCGCAAGCAGATTAACATTCAAATAAAGTATGTTAAAATAAAAGATACACCTTTATGCCACATGTAATAGGAAAGTACCTACTTAACAACTAGATTTTGAAGATAACAAGTATTGATTTCCTTCAACTATACGTATAAATAATAGTCTAGTTAATTACTTGACTTTGACTTTGACTCTAGTTAGTTACTAAGTACCGCACCCAGTGTCTGAATATCAAACCAATTTTTAAGGCACATTATTTAGAAGGTTAACTAGAAATATACAAGAAAAAGTATTACTTAGTACTTACATTGGCACCGCATTTGTTGAAAGTGATAGGAAGTGAGGCGATACGTACCTATCGTTCGGTGCACTGTCAGTACGGCCGTATCGACAAACTGATAAAGCGGTGAGTGTTATCACCACCACCGTTCCGACACGAAGCCAACCGACCAATATTATCCAATCAGGTGACAAGAATAATCTTTGTTCCAGTTCTTATTGTAATTACCCAACATCCATGGAAGCGGTGTTTGGATTGTCAATTTGACATAGAGTAAGACTTTTATTCGTAATAAAAGTAAGTAACCGTTGATTGGTGAATATTTCATTCTAAATCTTACCTAATAATATTTAATTTAATATGACTTGAATTTTAGTTATTGAAATAAAATTTTATATTCTTATAAATTACATTTAATCTGTGATGGCGATGTAACATATTATTGACCAAAAACTCCATAATATTTAAAATAATTATTTAACATGTATATTAACGTGCACACGAATCACCTGTTGGTAAGCAATCGGTGCTTTCCACCTTCCTCGTTGCCCTTGAAATTGACTCTTTAAGCAATTCTCTTATCTCTAACAATATATTAAATGAAACAAAACAGAGATTTTAGAAGTTTTAACATAAAAATCTGCCTATATTTCAATCGGCCAGTTAGGTTGATATGATTAAGTTTTTTCTAAGTGTGAAAGAGTGTCACTTTTCAGTCCCCTAAATCAATAGGTAGGTATTCCAATGGTATGTTTTTATTTCTCAACTAACATAACCCATTTATCCGAACGCTTAGACTTAAGGTAATAAAACAAATCTTAATAGTACTTTAAATCACTTTTTTTTTTTTTTTTTTTTTTTTAATATTATAAATTATTTCTCCACGGACTCTAGGTCCGTGCCCTTGTCATACAGTTTTTTAATTATAATACATCTAGTCAATTTTTATAAAGTAAAGAGGGAACCTAGTTACACACTACAATTAACTACATCTAAAATTATTACCAAAAGTATAGGTTACATAATAATTAGGCACTATTTATTTATTTCTATTTCAAAGGCTTTATGAAACCAGCCCACCAACAAGATGGGAGAGCCGACCTGACCCAGCAGAAGGCACCCGTTCACGAGTATGACGTGTGTGTCAGCAATTGGTCCGGTCAACCTTTTTATTGGGAACGGAACAACCCAACACACAGCGCCACCGACTGTAGGACATTTATGTGAGCATGACGACTCAACCTTTGCCACATGGGCCGATTCCAATAAAGCGTACAATAGTCTAAAGTCAATTGGTTTATATTCTATTTCTACATGTTTTGCACACACATTTCCTCATGTTGCATTCGTTCCATCACAAGCAACACTCCCCGCCCAAGAGAGCACCCATGACTGCCGCGTCCCTGTGTCTGATAGCCATTTTTAGGTTGTAGTCCTTAATACCTTGCTCACCCTCATCAGCCGCCTTCCTGATTAGTTTGCTTATCGCGTCTTCACTGTTGTCTGTGTAATAGATGCAACCATGCGTGTGACGCGATATTGCTACTACCGCGTGTGGTACGCTGTCATGTATTTGATGTTTCTTTGTTGCTGTGTTGACAACAATCACATTCGCACACGAAAGTCCCTGTGCCTCGTGTATCGTGGCACGCGTGATCCCACGGTCGACCCGTATCCCTGGTTCTTAAGGGATTCCTTCTCTGCCTGAGTGTGTACCAGGTATAAAGTGTCGGGGAGTGACTTTGGAATCATCGCCCCCGAGAACCTTTTTATCTCGAGGGATCTCACGAACGACCTGGACGAGTATATGCCACTGTAAACTGTGCTGAGGGCATACGCCCATCCATTGGATTTCTGTGGGTACACATCAATTCCTGGCTTAGGGGCGTGATATATGTAGGGCGGCTGTAGAGTAGAGGAAGAGGTTATCACGATCTATAAACGGAAGCTGATTATGTCAATTAGAAGGACTTCCTTGGCTCGAGTTATTCGGGCGGCCATCACAACGGCTCCAAAGTGGTTCATGAGAGCCTCATCTACCATTAGTCGATGGCAGCTCTCTCGCTCCCCAAGCCGTTTACTAGGATGGACGCCATTGTTCGAACCTAGATTTGACGAGTCCTCCGATTCGGCAGGATAGTTTGCCTCTGAGGTCATTTGCTGCTTCGGTTGTCGTGGTGACAATTAGATCTTTGCCCGCTTCAAATTGATCTACTATCCATGTCGTTTTTCCGCAACCAGGGACGCCATTTGTCCAGCGAAACGTCGGAGTATGCCAGTCTCCAAAAACTTCGCCGTCTGATCCAGAATCAGAAATGGATCTTGCCATCTCTAATATTCTATCGTCCAGCATAATTCTCGTGCATTTGGCAACCACTACTAGGGAATCCCCTGGAGGAGTTTTAAACTTTAACACTCCGCATCGATCGGATTCCCTCTCGTCCAGAGACACAAATCCTGCAGTTGCGTTATAAGCAGCCATACTTCGAGTTATAGAGGTTCCTCTCAGTACCCTCGAGGTGTTGTTGTCGTATATGACTGCTTCTGCTGCTTCGAGTCTATCGTTCAGTATTAGCTCGTTTCCTTGCAGGTAAGTCTGCAGAATGGATTCGCATTTCCGCATGTTGACCTGCCTGGTTGCCTCCACCACTGCGGTAAACTCGAGAAAAGCATTTACGACATGGTCTCTGGTAGTGGACGCTTGTCGAAGCCTCGGCGGACAAACGTGACCCATAGCTGCTCTTGTTGGTGATGACCTGGGGGGAGGAGACTGTATTTGTGCGCCTCCTGATCCTTGAGCAGATTTAACCACATTTTTTCTGAAGGGTGACGAAATCAGTCCGGTTACTGAGCATATGGCCGCTGTTATTGCCCACACTCTACCTCGTGATTCTAATTTTTTATTTTCCCTCTCGGTGTTTTGTTGGTGTTGTTGCAGAGCGCTTTGTTGCCTATATCTTTGTTGTAGACGCTCTGAGCCGCTTGGAGAATCCACCCCTAGCGCGTATCGAACTGGCTTTTTGAGGAAACTCAAGTCCTCACCCCTGTTCTCGTACACGATGACTTCATGATGTTCTGAAGCCCTGACGCATCCTATAAGGTCTGCCGTTCTCCCCTTCTCATAAGCTACCACGGCAGCGTCCACACTAATTATTCTGGGACTCATACCCTCGACCTCTCCCCGCCCACCCATGTCCGACAGCACACCGCAAGCTTGTTCAAAACAAGTCATTGAGTCGACGCTGGAGAACATTGCAATTGTTTTATTGCGTGTTCGCAGTAGTCGACAGCTCCGACCCAATAGTTGCATTTCTGGCAGCGCATCGTATGTTTTGCGCCGCATACTTGTCTTGGATGTGCTGCCATTCATTAGGGAGGCTAAGCCGGGTGAAATAGTAAGCCATTTGCTGTTCTTGCTTTCGCAGAAGGCTATCCCTAGCCTTTCGCTGCTGGTGTTCATGAACAGAGCTACACTTCGTAGCCGTATTCCTTTGGAGCCGCATTCTCCATGCAAGAGTATTTGCCTCTCATTGATGGTGAGCGGTTCAGTGGTACGGGCGATCTCGGATACTGCCATGGAAGTATTTGGTTGATTCTCCAAGTTGGCTATTCGATTTGTATTATTTAATGTGCTGTTTCTTTCAGCCGCCCTGTTGAAGATGGTTTCAATGTAGCTCAGAAAATGCGGTCTTTTGGTTTTATCAGCCAGAATGGCACTCAGATTTGAGGAATCCAGATTTGCATCTATTACATTTTCTAAGTTGGTTCTTGCGGCTAGAAAACGAGGACACTCTAGAATAATGTGCCATACAGACTCACTGATAGTTGAATCGCATTCGCAACCTGCACTTTCTTTTAGTTTAAATCGATGCAGATATTCAGCGATCCCTCCATGTCCAGTCAGCGCCTGAACTTGGGCAGGTGTCAACTTTGTTGATCTCACTATTCGATATGCCTCATGGACATCTGGGAGAAACGTTTTAGTCACCTGCCCAGTAGTTGAGGTGGTATACCTGTCCTGCCACTTACGGATAGTTTCGTCCCTAATTTTCT